TTTGGACAGTTTTGTAACTTAGCAACAAAAGCAGCTAAAATGCTGAAATTTTCTTAGCATGACGCAGGGTCCTGTTTGGGCAGGCGCACATGGGAACAACATTCACGTCTTTCATGTACGGGACACGTGAAGTTTGGCGTAACTCCGCAAACGAAGCACCCACAGTGCTGAATTTTTTTGACCATGACCACGACTGGTTTATTTGGAATTATTGTAATAATTTCTAACAGTCGTAATGACCATTTTCAATTCTTTTGGCTAAAAGAATCTCCCGGGAAGAACAATGCCATCAGTGTTAAAGACCTGCAGGGAAACTGTGCAGAAAATGCATGTGCGCACCGAGAGTTGGTGCGCTGTCGAATAAATTATGGTCGTATAGAAGTCATTTTCGTAAGGTTTTACAATGCCAGTAATGACAAAATTTAGGAATAACTTGAATGTTCCGGTGCCAAAAAAACTTCAGAAATCCTTTGAGAATATGAAGATGTTTTTTTTTTTTTTTTATTATTTACATAACTGGTAGCACCGAAGCCAGACTTTATGAAAGTAACTGTTGTAGCGGTTCACAGTGCTGCTGTAAAACTTTGACGCCTCCATCGCTTTAAGCCACGGACACATTAGACAGCCATTTGTTTCCTGTCGTTTCTGAGAGGGCCGAATAATAGGTTTTGTTTAGTGCCATTAACAGCTTTTGGCAGTACAGGAATTTTTTATAGTTTTTGCACTGGATTCTTCTGCAGTCCGAAGTTGATATGAGGAATGGGAACTTTCAAAATGCAGTGGATCGCTTGCTGAAACTTCGTTTATCATTACAGGTATGCATGCAGGATATTTTCAGCTAAACCAGCCCAGATGTTGTAAAAACCATAAGGTGATAAGAAGTGGTTTCCATGTTCTGTTGTTCCGGGATGCCAGAAGACAAGTTACAGCCTTAAGAGTGTGTTGTGCAATAAGTAAACTTTTACTGTTATACTGTTCTGCATGTTTCCTTAAATAGCAAAAAACCTCTGCGGTCCATATTGTCCTGTTTTGCTTTAGTCCAAAGATGAGGAGCGACGTCTTGTTGATAATGCACTTGGATGTATCTACGCGCTTTCTATGAAGAGGTTTGATCTGGCAGAGACGTATTTCTGTTCGGCTATTTGGGTGGATCAGCTAAAAAGAAACAGGTGAAGAATTCGAATGTAACCTTTGAGAATTTCATACATTGTCTCTAGCAGTCGTAATTTGCGAGTTTTGTTTTCAGCGAATTGCTGTTGCAAAACACGATCGATCCCTTAAAAATTGAAATCTCGAAAATTTTTTCTAAAGAGTCATGAACTACCAAGGCTTACGTAATCTTGCTGTGTTTTATTTGTTTTGAACGTTGCTGTGGGTCATATAAAGTTCTGAGATATGAGAGAAAATTCTTCTTTCAAGGTTTTCCAATTAGTTTACGGGTTTTCCTTCTTTTTTTATTTTTATGCGATTTTGCTTTGCAGCGCTATAACCCTGATATAGCGAGCAAAAACGCATATAGTCGAGCGGTCATCTGTGTGTGTGTTCGGGAGCGAGTGAACTTGTCATCCATTTTTAATTCTGCACCCAGTGAAATTGAGGGGCTGAAATTTTGGTTACATATTCCCATTCCGTGTTTCATCCTCCCGTTTCAAAATCTTCGCTCATACGCGTCTAGACCTCGGGTACGGGCCCCCTGGAAAAATATGCAGATTTTTCTGGCGAAAAACGATTTCGTGAACCAGACAAGTTAGAAAATTGAAAATTTGCAGAGATATTCTCTGTGCATGT